TTGGATCAGATGCTGCTGTGTGGAATTAGGATCTCTACCTCCTCCTCCCCCCCTCCCTCCCGCCTGCCTGCTCCGTCTCTCACACTGGCCCTCTGGCTGACAGGCATCTCGTTAGTGCAGTATGTCTGTCAGTGAGGTTCGAGATTGAGCTGTGCCCCCGCATATCCCTGATGTCTCTCTCAAACACACACTCTCATTGGCTGAGGTGACGACGGCTCAGAACAGACAGTCTCTCTGGCCTCAGTAATGATCTGATGTCCTGTACTTTTAAGATGTCACTCTAATGGAAGCGTTATTTTTGTCCCGCGCACCAAAGAAAACCATTTTGCTAAACATTGTTCTCTCCCTTGTTCCCTCTTCTTCTCCTCCCCCCCGCTGCCTCCTTATCGCCCTTCTCTTCTGTCAGGTGGAGTTCAAGATGAAGAAGACAGATGCCATCAGATGGGAGAAGCTGGAGGGAGAAGGACAGGAGTCCAACATCAAACACTTCGATCCCAGTCAGTCCACACAGCTTCTGCATTTACACTCCTTTCCCCCAACCATCCTTCTGTCTCTGCTCTCATCTCTCCGTCTCTCCCTCTCCCTCGTCTCTCCCTCTCTCTGTGCAGAGATCAATATAAGCTCCTGTGTTTGTCTGTTCTGCACTAAAATGAGAGTGGGCAGTCAAGCCCTGCTAGAGTCTTTCATTAGTCTGACGGCGAAAGTAGGCAGGGAAAGGGAAAGGTATGACAGCAAAATATGACTCAGTATTTTAGCCCACACATTCCTATTACTGACAGGATTAATTACTTATGTAAGTGTGTGTGTTTGTGTGTGGAGGGGCGAGTAAAAGTTTAGTGGGCAGCCAAAACCGCCCTTTCCATGCAACCAGCTCAGCCTCCAGGACACCCGGTTTATAAGGGCGTGCTTATAACTTGGACTACTGTTACATTTAAACATGATATTTGACATCTGATTTTATGGGATCACATTCGCGTACGTCCACACTTGGCCTGAATATGTCTACTGTGCGTCTGGGTGCTGTATTTATGTAAATCTGCGTCTGGATTACATTTCCCGCTCTTTCCTCTCCCATCTCTTGTTGGGATTATAGTGGGCGTATTTCATCCAGGAAATATAGAAATCAAATGAGCAAAAAAAAACTATATGAACCTTTTTAACACCGTCTCCCTCCTCCATCAGATCAGTACCCGTCTTCGTCCCACTACACCTGCAAATGGGACAAGATGGTGGTGGACATCAGCGAGGAGGAGAAAAACGAGAAGCTGGAGGGAGACGCAGCGCTCAACAAGCTCTTCCAGCAGATCTACTGCGATGGCTCAGACGAGGTCAAGCGAGCTATGAACAAGTCCTTTGTAAGTATTATGCTTAAGCGACATGAGTCTTTTTCTTCTTCTTCTGGAAATCACTTTAACCACAGTTCCATAGTAGCCAACAATATCTCCAGTAAAAACAATGTTGTCTTTGAGTCCAAACAGCAACTCAGACGTATTTTTTTGAAGGAAATAAAGAAATTAGCTGTTTTTTCTAACTGCCCAGGGATCCACTCGGGCATCCAGCCTGCTATCCAGACTTGCTCTTTGGTTGGCCAACTTGCAAACTACCTATTCATCTTCACAAACATTTAATACTTACAGTCCTCTTGCTGCCCTTTTGCCTTCATTCTTTGTTTTTTCTCCTTCATTATAATGAGCCCGTCATCTGTGCACTCTGGTTCAAATACATACGGCCAACTATCAAAGCGCAGTGACTCACAATCCTCCTCATGATAGTCCACTAGATAACCAGCCATTGCTCTTAGATTCTTTGAGTTTCCTGAGAAAATCATATTATTAAACCAGTGTATATACAAACATTCATTTGGGACATTGGAGGAAAAAGTGAATGGAATACAACACATGCAGTGTGGACTGATGCAGCAGTAACAGATTGTCTAATGAATGAGCTTCTCTAAGTGCATTTATGTGCATAGAAGGATGTTTGTAAGAGTTTATGATTGTAGCAAAATGTTGAATGATGGTCGGGGTGAATCAGCATTCTGTGTTATTAACAATCTGATCTCATGAAGCTGGAGTCACCTCCAATACACTACCTAAAGCTGATGCTGTTAAACATTCATGTCAAGTAGTCATTGCTGCATTTGAAGCAGAAGACCTTTAGGAGAGTAAAGGTCGGCTTATATGGAAATCAGCATTTTGAATTCTTTGACTTTTTAGCTCATGAAATGAAAATTAACATTAGTTACTGGTCAAAAAAAATCCACCATGTTCATTAGAACTGAAGAAGGACTCAGCGGTGCTGCAGTGGACTTATCTAAGCTCTGAGCATTTTGAAGCAGAGAGAAGGTGTTGCATAACTACAGCACTAATGAAATGAGGGATCATTCCACTGAAGTGATTTCTTTCTCTGTCTCTCCTCCCTGTGCAGATGGAGTCAGGTGGTACAGTCCTGAGCACCAACTGGAAAGATGTGGGCAAGAGAAAAGTGGAGATGAGCCCACCAGAAGACGTAGAATTCAAAAAGTACTGAGCACCTCCCTCTCCCTCCCTCTAACTCCCTCTCCCTCTCCCTCTCTCTCCCTCTCTCTCCCCTGCATCTTTCTTCACGTTTGTCCATCTGAACTCCAGCGGGAGCCCTGGTTGCCCTGCCGTCTCCGTGGCCATCCCCTTCCTCCTCTTCCCAACCCCCTCAGTTGTGCTGTTGCTCCGGTGTTTTCACTAAGTGCAGGGAGCCTTAGTGTTCCCACTTTCGCTCAACCAAACCACTCATGGCCTACTCTCTGCAATAACTTGCTACAGGATGGGGGTCAGTTCATTTGAATAATCTGTTGAACGGATTGAGTTACATTATCTGATGTTTTTTTTGTTTTTGTGTTTTTTAAAGGCCCATGGACTCAAACGGGAAGTAAGGTCTGCCTTGAAATGTGACTGACAGACCTAAAATTCAACTTTCAGATCTGGTTTTAGAGAATCATTCTTCTTTTTTTTCTCCTCTGCCTCTCTTGGTTTTCTCAAAATGCCCGCAGCCTTTCTATTTGGGAGCCTTTTATGACTTCCTATTATCTGCACTTGTATAAAAATGTAAAGTGGTTTAAAAAAAAAAGCAAGAACCAATTGAGACATTTTAAATAACAACTTTGATTGCATTTCTTGGCCCTAAGCAGTTTTTCTGTACACTCAGTAAAAAGTCAACAGCAATACTTGACTTGTCTGGAATCTGTGTGACATGTCAACCAGTGGCTTAGCACCAGTCACTCCCTCAGTGTGATTCAAGCTTCAGTGTAAATAAAAGATTTGTTGTTTGGCTCACAAACTTTGTCTTGTGTTATATGGTTCGGGAACGGTTTTGGACAGGTTTGAAAGTCTTGGGTTAGGGATCCTTCAGATGCGAAAACAGCAATATATTACGACAAGGAGCCATGCTCTGTGATTACGTGCTCGGAGGAATGAAATGTGGCATTACTGATACGAGTGCAGGCAGTTTAGATACGGCTGACAGCTTCAGGGTATGGTTTACGTATCGTGGTTCGATTGGTATCAAGACGGAGGGCCCAGAGTCATTTGGCCGGCGGGCGAGGACACAGCCCTGAGGTGGAGTGGTGATTTACAGTTGGAGATGCGGGAGAGCGGGCACCACCCTTGTTCTCCAACCACATGTATGCAGCAGCTGTAACTGTGAGGAGGCGTCCTGCAGCGGCAAGAGAGCATTAATATGGATCAGCCTCCTAACCGCATCATCAAGCCTCTCACACTGAGTTAAGTGTTAAATTCATCACACATCGTTTCATCTCTTGTGACGATCAAACGCCCCGTTTGTGTCTCTGGATGAAACTCTTAGCTTCATAACACTCTCACACAAACACACACTCCTACACTATCCCTGACACGCACACAAACACACCGCCCCCATCCTTACCCCCTACCCCTGCCTGAGGCGGCTCTGTGACATCAAAAGGAGCTAAGCGCTTTGCATCGTGGGTAAGATCTGGGAGCGTGACGGCTACAGAGTCTTTAGTCTCATTAAAGAGTTCTAGAGCTGCAACTCTCAACATTAAAGAACTCTGGAAACTTCTTTCTGCTCATCCCTTTGGAGCAGCTACCAAATGTGACACATCTTAAGACTGAAGAGAGAGGGCGGGCTGTTCCCGGATCAACCTAATGATAAGTTAGAAGCAATATGTATGTACAAATAGCATATAAAGTCAATCGGTCAATAAGAGGGCTGACACTTGAAAGTTTACTTTAAAAGTTTATTCAGACATATTGCACTTTGAGATAGGTTCTTCAATGCAGATGAAAATGCATTTAGATGAAAGTTTGTGAGAGAATGAGTACAGTACATTGTTTTAATGAGAGCTACTCATGAAGACAAAATAGAAAAGGGGAAAAAGTTAAAAACACAGGAGTCAAAAAGATTTCTTACTAGAACAACAGCTGACTGCCTTGGAGTACTGTGCGCCCTATACATTTATTTACATCAAAAAGCAAAGAATGAAAGCAAAGGAATGATTACCAGCTCTATAAATACAAGCTTACCTGCTTTTCCTATATATAAATGGGTCCAGTTAAACATATTTGAAATAAACGCAGATATTAATGCATTTAATTGAGAACAGGTCTGTTGAATGTTTGATATCACCATCATCTCTTTTCTCTTGACAGCATGTTGTGCTGTAGACCAGAAGAACCTGATAGCAGGTATGTTTTTTTAATAGGACAAGCTGTGCAGAGTGCAGCCACTGTGTACCTTTACATGTCAGATCATGTCTGTCCTAGATTCTGTACCATGCATTTATAATGTGTGGACACGCTGACTGATGCTGTTCATTTCCTACCAATCTGCTCAAACTAACCGGTAACTACAGTAGATGACGATAAGAAGCCACCATCTCCCTTTGCTAAACTTTTCCCTTCATCTCCCCTCCCTTGGAACCCCCATCCCTCCCTAGTTTCATCCCTCTCGGACTCTACCATCTCCCTAGTGGGCAGAGGGGGGGCTGTCTACACCAGACCCAAAATCCGTGCCACCCACCAGTTGCACGGCATGATAACTCTGCAGACCACCCTGCAGCCTCTGTAGTGGTACGGCCACGGGTGGTACCCTCCCAGCGGCTCGCAGATCCTCTGGCAGTGGGTGTGGCTGCGACGGCACTCTGTGCAGCACACGCCCTGGTGGTCCAGCATGGGGTCGTGGTTCATGGTTCCCTGCTCACCCTCAAGACCCCTCTGAGAGGAGACAGAGAGGACAGTGGTCAGTGTGTGCACATTCTGCCCTCTGATACTGTGCGTCTTGAGCCACGGAGAGGAGCGCTCGTTTCAAACCAATTAAAAATGGATTTCCGACAGGCGGGATGGGGAGGAGGGGATGTTGTCAGATGTGGGTTTTTGTTGTCAAATATTTTCTCCTTCAACGTAGTGCTTGCTGTTTGCCCCCTTCTGGGGTTGTCAGGAGTGTGTAGCAGGGGGTGGGAAGGGAGGGGGATTAGGAAAAAGC